CTTCCCCTCCACCTTTCAAAACAGATCTGTGCCCTTCCCTGGGTATGACATTAAACTCCATCGAGGCGGCTCCTGATGTACGTCTTAGTGACTGCTGTTTTTTTTTAGGATGTGATCTGGTTTTTCATGTCCATTTTTCGTGATTATGACTATTCTGAATAAAGAATGTTTCGAGCAGAGGTGGATTCAAGGCACACCCCCCCCCCCCCCCCCTTCATTTTTTTAATGAAAAAAAAAGGGAAAATATATTCAAATTGAAGTGCGAGAGTGTAATTTCCGGCCATCTAGAGATGCCCTAATCATAAATTTTCTTACCTCAGCCCCAACCAAGGTGGGGCTGAGGTGGGTGGTTCCTCGGTCTGTGAAAGTCCCTCCCTGGATCAACTCTCTTTCGAATTCCTGGATCTGCCACTGTTGATTTATTATATTATTATTTTTTCACTTATTTATAATGCGTCTATTGCAATTTTCACTTTTATCCTCTCAAACAGTCCTAAGAACGTTCAGAGTGCGCTACTTCACAGGGGGATTCGCCCCCTTGACCCCGCTGGGGGAATACGTAATTCGCATAACGGCTCCCCCCCTTTCAAAATCCTGGCTACGTCCCTGTTTTGAATAATTGTAAGTATTTGGAAAGAATTTTTGGAAAGATTCTGAAACGTTCTATGTTTTGTCTTTCAGACGTGCAACACGTTGTTATTCCGTTTAACACTAGTCTGCATACTCGGACTACTAGAATGCGAAATACAAGAGCTATCAAATACTCAGCCTGGTTTATTACAGCACTGAGTCTCTCGCTTCTCTTCAGTACAGTAAAGAAAATAATATTACAGTTCGCCCTCCAATTCGAGACCACCTTTGCGACCTGAAAATGTGGGGTGGTCTCGGGGTTGGTCTCCAATTAGAGGACCAGCTTTGTGATAAAAGGTTGAAGATTGTTAGTTGGGTCTTTGGAAATGTGGTCTCGAATTAGAGGGTGAAGGGGTCTTTAATTGGAGGGCACACTGTACTTTTACCTTATTTTGGTGTCGGTTTAGTTTTAAAAATGTTACTCAGTTTTTGATATTGTTGTCTTTTTAAGTAAAATATCAATCCGAGTAAAATTGTTTAAACTAAACTCAATGTAGAATTAATGTAGAATTAAATATAATATTACGTTTACTTTATTTTGCTTTCGTTAACATTTTTTTTTGACTCAGATAGGGCCTAGATTAATATTTGACTTTAAAGGAAAAAAACAAACACTCCAATACTTATCATTACTTATAAACCATTGTTAACGCCATTCTTTAACAAATTCCTAATTCTGATTGTTACCTGTATTGTCCTAATCTAATCCATGCACACAATAACATAAATTCCAGCACACTATTTGTATATGGAGCGGATCCGATGACCGGAGGTAACCTTGACATGTCAAAGTGCTTTACTCCACAACAAAAAGTGTGGTACAGTATTAATATTTATTTGAATGGCAATCGTCTATTGACGATGCGTTCAAAAACAGCAACAAATAATTATTACTAACGAATTACAATATGTAAACCAAAAAGCACAAGCATAATTGTTTCTACAGAATTGAAAAGAATCTTCCTTCCATAACTTAACTGCAGTATCATAATCAAATTAGAGATAACATATCATTATTTACTAATTATAAAAAACATCTCTACGGAGATCTCGTCTTGTCGTCAGTTGCTGATAAGAAGATGGAGTATCATTTTTATTTTGATCTCATGCGCTTGAGTGTTAAGTATACTATGCTATAATCGGATTTAAATTCCCAATAAATCCTCAGTGGCCTAGTTGGTTAATACAGTATGCGTATGCACAGACAGCATAAGGTCCCGGGTTCGAATCCCGGTTGGGCAATTACATTTTCACACTCGCAGATTCCTGTTCTTTAACGTTAAAAATGATTTATATATATTTACAGCATAGTGTATATATAGTACCGAGAGGGTGCGGGTTCGAATCTAGAGATACCCTTTTTCATAAAATTGGAAAAAGGAACTTTCATTGAAGGATATTTCTGCCATGGACGCCTTTATCGAAATTGATAATTTGGCCTATATTTTGAACAACAAAGTTTTGCCAGATTTATCTGAATTTCAATACTTTGTCTCTTATATGAAAAAGTGTGTAGGCTTAATTAAATGTTGCTGTTAAATTATTTATGTAATAAACTTTATATCAAATCTCTTATTTTAGAAATGGGAATTAATGTTAACGACACATAAGCCCCCACGCCCAAGGGTTTACAGACCGGCTGATCAGGTAATACATAAATTGATGATGATGACGTGGTATTAGGCTAAGGCTACATTTGATAATGAGATGAGGATGATTATGATGATTGTAATGATGATGAAGATGATGACGACGATGATGATGTTGAGAAGAGTGATGTTATTGATGTTGTGATGATGTTGACGATGAAGAATATAATGATAATGGTGATTACGATTATGATGATGATAGAGGCCTGGTGTAGGTTCCATATTATCTGATTCTTCTGTACTTTTAACACAGAGTATCTTTAGGGCAAGTAGACTGATTCGCTGGTTCTTTGGGCACCTTCAGCGCAAGTCGTTCAGGGGTGGATCCAGAATTTGTCAAACGAGGGTTTCAGAATAGACAAGTGAGCAACACATAACACTGATTTGCGGCAAAACGGGGAGGCACATGCCCCCATGCCCCTACTGAATCCGCCCCTCCCTGTCGTTGTAGTAGAAGAGTTCCAAAATGTTTCTCTCTACGGAGTTTGATAATCACTACGGGTCCACACAATTCTGCACAATGATGCTAAGAGTTATGGGTACCTGTTAATTACCTAACTTTACAATCTACCCTTTTGCAAATTTACCGTAGGCCTAATTGCTATTCATTTAATTACTTTTCTTTCAACAGACTTCGATACCTCAAACCGAAAAATTAGAATCGCCAATTGAAAACATAACAAAAGTAGGATCTGATAAAATGACAATACCGACACTTGCATCCATAAAGGAAGCGCGTCTAAAATCATCAAATAGGCAGATGCCTAAAGTTTCGAAACCAAAAGAAACAATGGGATTGATTAATACAAGTGAAACTACGATAATTCTGAAAAACACTGGCTTGATAAAAGTTGGTGACACTTTTAGTGTGATCATCGAGACCCGCGATAGTAACGACCGACACCGTTTAAAAGGAGGCGATTTTTGGATGGCAAATATCAGAAGTCGCCAAGCCAATGCGGCAGGAAAGGTAATTGACTTCAAAAATGGAACTTACGAAGTAGTATTCTTTGCTGCATGGGCTGGCAATGTCAGTATTGAAATCATCCTTGTTCACCCTTCTGAAACTACAGACTTTATTGAAAACTCAGTTTGGCCTATGAAAGATAGAGCTCTGTGGAAGGGAAGTTTTGTTTCCGGTAACACCAGCAATGGTAGAACCGCTTGCAGATTTAGAATTAAAGGTGAAGAAGACCTACAAGACAAATGCGAATGGAGTCATCCGCTGGCCATCGGTAAAACTGTATTTGTTTGTGATAAACCGAAAACATTGGGATGCGACACACTTTTCCACCTCAAGTCGTCCTCCCATCATGCCTTCCCCAATTTTGACTTGTTAAACAACTATACAGGTATCTTCAGCAGGTGAGTGATTACTGTACAGTAAGTTGCAATTGGTATGTTTGAAATCAGAACAAATTTAAATATGATACAGTATATAGTATTGACAATATTCTGTAACTAAAGTTAAACGACAAGACAAGTGACCTCTCTCTTATACACATCTAGATGTGTATAAGAGACAGGAGGCCTGGTGTAGGTTACATATTATCTGATTCTTCTGTACTTTTAACACAGAGTATCTTTAGGGCAAGTAGACTGATTCGCTGGTTCTCTGGGCACCTTCAGCGCAAGTCGTTCAGGGGTGGATCCAGAATTTGTCAAACGAGGGTTTCAGAATAGACAAGTGAGCAACACATAACACTGATTTGCGGCAAAACGGGGAGGCACATGCCCCCATGCCCCTACTGAATCCGCCCCTCCCTGTCGTTGTAGTAGAAGAGTTCCAAAATGTTTCTCTCTACGGAGTTTGATAATCACTACGGGTCCACACTACTGAAACTTATGAGAGTTGGAAACAGCAATTATACAAAACATGTGACTCCCAAGCATACTACTCATCACAGTGATATTTTGGCCTTCGATTTCTATTTTCATCCGTATAGCATGGGCTCCCTTGGGTACCATTACCGGGTTGGTAAGTGGGAGTATGAAGTCCTGGACAACCTCAATTTCAGTGCGTGCAATTACGTTGTCATGGTCAGTCCATGGGCACATTACTCGCAGTGGGTTAAGGAAAGTACCTGGGAACGAATGCGTCTGTTGCGGGAAACACTCATACGATTCATGAAACGTTGTCCCAAGGCACAGGTTATGGTGAAAACGCCACGCCCAAGGTACCATCAGAAGGGGGGAGATAATATTTATACCGGGGAAAAAATGCTGCATGATATATTTGAACTATACCATGAATTATTTTCTGATTTGGGCATACATATCCTTGACATATGGGATATGAACGTTTCCCATCCAGCACCAAACGTTATACATATGCCGATGCCAATAATTTATCAATAATTATTCATGATGTTTTCTCATATTTGTCCAAAGGGTCCACCTCAAAATAATGCCAACAAGTAATTGATATTCTTTCCACAACATCTGCCAACTGAACCCTCTATTTGCAAAGCTTTTATATTGGCGATTTAATGCAGATAGGCCTTAATCACTGGTATAATACTTAATACTGATATAAAAAAAATAACACTTCATATTCTGGCTTAATCTCATAAACAATGTTACTATCCAACCGTTTACTGGTACATTGTTGAAATCAGTTGTCCTGTTTATCGAGTTACATCCTAACCAGCATTGTCGAGATGAGTTATTCTCAGTCTAGCCTATCAACTTCTCGTTAATTTACTCGTGCATGTGTGTGTCGAATGTCATAGCATAAAATATTTGTTATGACAAATTCAATAAAAGACACATTGTTCCATATTTTCTATTATACTCTAATAGTATATTTTATATCTCATATTCGACATAGTAATTTCTTTTTTTAAGATGACGATTTTCCTACTTGTCATGTCGTTATTATCATCCTCAGTAAGCATACGCTTATTTTTATAATCATTACTGCCAATTAATTTTATTATTATTATTATTATTATTATTTTTGTCTTTTGTGGGGTCATTTTTTCTCACATTTCATCATTACATAATTTACAATTAATAGGTTTTATGTTGTACTGTTCTGCATTGCACTTTTCTTTAAAATAGTTCAGTCCATCGTGATGGCTAACTATTAATTCTTTATCGCTATTTTCATAGTAATGTACGACATTTAAACATATATTTTCAATGCGTTACTTTTATATGTATATTTTTCCGATTATATTCTAACCTTTTTTAATTTAAATAATATACATTTTTTCCCTCTAGGGTCCTTCTTTTGTTTTGCACTGTTGAAGCTTGTCAACTACTGTGGTACGGTAGTCAATGACAACCACTTGTTCTGTCGATTCAGAACGGTTAAGAACTTTATTATTTATTATACATACAAACTTGGACCAACTTGCCTCATCTCAAATTTTACAAAATTACCTCAATGTATTAAAATACCCTACTTCTATATTTCTATTTTAAAAGCAATGTCACATGTCAATGATATGCAGTTTTTATATCCCAAATGTTTCAGTGATATTGCTGAACAATATTTATGGGGAAACAAATTTGTGTGTATAAATAATAACTCTGTATATTACCGGAATTGGATAAACTCAGGAATATTAAAGGTTAAAGACATCATAAAAAACAACAATTTTCTCCCATCTCTTGAGCTTAGAAATAAACTGAATGCCAAACATAACTGGATGTTAGAATATTCATGTTTGTTAAAAGCCATTCCTAAAGAGTGGAAGAGTGTAATAACAAAATGTAGTAAGAAATAAGGATATGCCCAAGCAAAGTAATAGAAACCCCATTCTAAAATTGACAACAAATCAAATTTATTGTTTGTTACTAAAGAGTACTGCGAAGCCGCCTGTTCAAAACCAACGGAAATGGGAAATTTTTTTGGAGACTGAAAACAGAGATTGGATACACACCTGGCGCCTTGTTCATGTAGGGGTGCTCGAGTCGATTCCTCTATTTTTCTGATTTCATAATTATACCAAGCATTCTTTGCGCCGCTGCTGATTTTGTTCGCAATCATACGACAAGTAAATATGGTGTCCATAATTTTACGAGGGTGCAATTTTACGTTGTGGTCTGATATACCCAACAACGTAAATAATTAATACGGACACGAAACTCATCGTGCCTTCTTGTTCATGTAGGGGAGCTCAAGTCGTTTTTTCTATTTTTCTGATTTTATCATTTTACCATGCATTCTGCGCGCCGCTGCTCATTTTTGTTCGAAATCATACGATAAGTAAATTTGGTGTCCAGTATTTTACGTAGGGTGCAATTTTACGTTGTGGTCTGATATTCCCAACAACGTAAATAATTAATATGACACGAAACTCATCGTGCGTTGTTCATGTAGGGGGCGCTCGGGTCGATTCCTCTATTTTTCTGATTTCATCATTTTACCAAGCATTCTTCGCGCCGCTGCTCATTTTGTTCGAAATAAGACGATAGGTAAATTTGGTGTCCAGTATTTTACGAGGGTGCAATTTTAAGTTGTGGTCTGATATTCCCAACAACGTTAATAATTAATACGGACACGAAACTCATCGTGTCTTGTTCATGTAGGGGATGCTCGAGTCGATTCCACTATTTTTATGATTTTATCATTCTACCAAGCATTCTTCGCACCCCTGCTCATTTTGTTCGAAATATAAGACGATACCGGTAAGTATAATTTGGTGTCCAGCATTTTACGAGGGTGCAATTTTACGTTGTGGTGTGATATTCCCAACAGCGTAAATAATTAATACGGTCACGAAACTCATCATGCCTTGTTCATTCATGTAAGGGGGGCTCGAGTCGATTCCTCTATTTTTCTGATTTCATCATTTTATCATGCATTCTTCTCGCCGCTGCTCCTTTTGTTCGAAATAAGACGATAAGTATAATTTGGTGTCCAGTATTTTACGAGGGTGTAATTTTACGTTGTGGTCTGATATTCCAAACAACGTAAATAATTAATACGGACACGAAACTCATCGTGTCTTGTTCATGTAGGGGGTGCTCGAGTCGATTCCTCTATTTTTCTGATTTCATCATTTTATCAAGCATTCTTCGCGCCGCTACTCATTTTGTTCGAAATATAAGACGATACCGGTAAGTATAATTTGGTGTCCAGTATTTTACGAGGGTGCAATTTTACGTTGTGGTCTGATATTCCCAACAACTTAAATAATTAATACGGACACGAAACTCATCGTGTCTTGTTCATGTAGGAGGTGCTCGAGTCGATTCCTCTATTTTTCTGATTTCATTTACCAAGCATTCTTCGCACTGCTGCTCATTTTGTTTGAAATAAGACGATAAGTAAATTTGGTGTCCAGTATTTTTCGAGGGTGCAATTTTACGTTGTGGTCTGATATTCCCAATAACGTAAATAATTAATACGGTCACGAAACTCATCATGCCTTGTTCATTCATGTAAGGGGTGCTCGAGTCGATTCCTCTATTTTTCTGATTTCATCATTTTATCAAGCATTCTTCGCGCCGCTGCTCATTTTGTTCGAAATATAAGACGATACCGGTAAGTATAATTTGGTGTCATGCATTTTACGAGGGTGCAATTTTACGTTGTGGCCTGATATTCCCAACAACGTAAACAATTAATATGGACACGAAACTCATCTTGTCTTGTTCATGTAGGGGGTGGTCGAGTCGATTCCTCTATTTTTCTGATTTCATCATTTACCAAGCATTCTTCTCGCTGCTGCTCATTTTGTTCGAAATTAGACGATAAGTAAATTTGGTGTCGAGAATTTTACGAGGGTGCAATTTTACGTTGTGGTCTGATATTCCCAAACAACGTAAATAATTAATACGGACACGAAACTCATCGTGTCTTGTTCATGTAGGGGGTGCTCGAGTCGATTCCTCTATTTTTCCGATTTCATCATTTTATCAAGCATTCTTCGCGCCGCTTCTCATTTTGTTCGAAATATAAGACGATACCGGTAAGTATAATTTGGTGTCATGCATTTTACGAGGGTGCAATTTTACGTTGTGGTCTGATATTCCCAACAACGTAAACAATTAATATGGACACGAAACTCATCTTGTCTTGTTCATGTAGGGGGTGCTCTAGTCGATTCCTCTATTTTTCTGATTTCATCATTTACCAAGCATTCTTCTCGCTGCTGCTCATTTTGTTCGAAATAAGACAATAAGTAAATTTGGTGTCTAGAATTTTACGAGGGTGGAATTTTACGTTGTGGTCTGATATTCCCAAACAACGTAAATAATTAATACGGACAAGTATACGGATACGGATAAGTAAATTTGGTGTCCAGTATTTTCCGAGGGTGCAATTTTACGTTGTGGTCTGATATTCCCAACAACGTAAATAATTAATATCGAGTCGATTCCTCTATTTTTCTGATTCCATCATTTTATCAAGCATTCTTCGCGCCGCTGCTCATTTTGTTCGAAATATAAGACGATACCGGTAAGTATAATTTGGTGTCCAGCATTTTACGAGGGTGAAATTTTACGTTGTGGTCTGATATTCCCAACAACGTAAATAATTAATACGGTCACGAAACTCATCGTGCCTTGTTCATGTAGGGGGTGCTCGAGTTGATTCCTCTATTTTTCTAATTTCATCATTTTACCAAGCATTCTTCGGGCCGCTGCTCATTTTGTTCGAAATAAGACGATACCGGTAAGTATAATTTGGTGTCCAGTATTTTACGAGGGTGCAATTTTACGTTGTGGTCTGATATTCCCTAACAACTTACATAATTAATACGGACGGACGGATTAATACGGACATCATGTCTTGTTTATGTAGGGGGTGCTCGAGTCGATTCCTCTATTTTTCTGATTTCATCATTTTATCATGCATTCTTCTCGCCGCTGCTCATTTTGTTCGAAATAAGACGATAAGTAAATTTGGTGTTCAGAATTTTACGAGGGTGTAATTTTACGTTGTGGTCTGATATTCCCAAACAACGTAAATAATTAATACGGACACGAAACTCATCTTGTCTTGTTCATGTAGGGGGTGCTCTAGTCGATTCCTCTATTTTTCTGATTTCATCATTTACCAAGCATTCTTCTCGCTACTGCTCATTTTGTTCGAAATAAGACGATAAGTAAATTTGGTGTCTAGAATTTTACGAGGGTGAAATTTTACGTTGTGGTCTGATATTCCCAACAACGTAAATAATTAATACGGACACGCAACTCATCGTGTCTTGTTCATGTAGGGGGTGCTAGAGTCGATTCCTTTATTTTTCTGATTTCATCATTTACCAAGCATTC